TTTTGATAAATACGTCGAAATTAATCTTGAAGCGTTTGAAAGACTGAATTATGAAAATTGCAATGAAAAATTTTTGGAATTTGTGGAGGTTGCCGATATCGGCATAGAATCCTCAGGATACAAAGAACTTTCGATGGTACGTTTGATTCAAAATGATGGTGAACAGTTGTTGGAACTATTGCAAGATTCTCAGGCTGAGCAAGAAACAAATCAAGATTTCATACCAGCTAATAATTTTAAAGACTGTTCAAACATTTTGCAAAATAGTAATAAAAGAACTGATTGTCCTAAAAGTAAATCAGACTTCTTCGCATGTGTCGAGGATAATGTACCATTAGAAGAAAATATGAACAACAACCGAAGCATAAAGAATATTAAAGAATATACAGACAATAGCAACCATATGCCTACAGACATAACGACTACTAAAAGTAATAAAAACATTAGAACATCAGAAGAATTGAAAAAATCAAAAATAATTTCAAGAAAGTTCCAATGCTTAGTATGTAAAAAGGCATTTTCAACAACATATAATTATAAACAACACATTGGAATACATTTTACCGATCAGCAAAAATTTCATTGTAAAGATTGTGGAGTGTCCTTTGCTTGGAAATCTACTTTGAACAAACATATCGCAAACAATCATACCTCAGATGGTCCGCAAAAGTTTGTCTGCGAGATTTGTCCAAAAGTCTACAGTACCTTATCACAAGTAAACGTAAGTCTTTATCAGTTCATTAAGTTACATTGGGCTTATATTACTACAGTTAAGAATTTCGTTCGTTACTTACGGATTACTAAAATATTTCCTTCGCGAAAACTAAATAATTTTTATTTGAAATTTTTATTTAAATGCATTGTTCTTAATCATTTTTAAGATTGACATATAAGATGGATCACTCTTGTATATATTATAAATATGATATATGTCTCATATAGGAGCATGTAAAAAGGGATCATTTAAAGCAGCGGAATCATGTTTGTCTGCACTGCGGCAAATCTTTCTTTAAAAGATTTGACCTGAAGACTCACAGTAGAACGCACACGAACGAACGTCCGTATGTATGTCGTGTTTGCGGCAAAAGATTTCATCATCAGAGCCATATTATTCGTCACGAGCGTACGCATTCAGGCGAGCGACCATATGTATGCGACATTTGTCAAAGAACTTTTACACAGCCCAGCTCGCTAAAAGCACATAAGCAGAAGCATCAGCAAATTCAGATGGATTTTTTGGATTACCAGATCGATGAGGACGATCCTATTGCATTAGCGACACTATGAAACATGGATCTATAAAATAAATATAAAAGGCGGAATGTTTCGTTTGAAGTGGAAAAAAGGCAGTGGATATACGGGATGATCCAGAACAACCCAGATGTCCTTGAAAAGACATATTCCTGACTTAATTGTAAGATGATTTTTTCTTTACAAATTTTATCCGAAAATTTTATCTGAAGCTTAGTTTTGAAATTATAAGAAGAAATATTTAGCCTATCACAGGCTGTGTAAAGAAGATGAGCAGGAGCGGCGCATCTCATAATTAAACGTTTAATTGGGCGCTTACGCGGATGCATACTAATCGGACGCGTTCACACGTTTATAAGAACACATTCGGTCCTCTTTTTCCTATTTCTCTGTTTGTTACACTTTAAATATGCTAATTTTATTAAGTTATACATTAAAATGATGAAATTGAAATAAGTGAATCCTTCGAGTATCGGTTTGATTTTTAATTACTGTAATAAAATTGTTAGACAAATTTTGTGAAAGAGAAATTAGACAAACAGTTACGTGCGATAAGCATTATAAAGCTACCGTTGACATACAATAATACAAGTATTTTAGTACGTCTAACGCTAGGTTATTCCATTTTTTGTGATTTCCCATCTTTTGATGAACTTCAGGCTCACTGTCTTGCTCTCTTACTCTCTTATGTATTACTCTTTTACTCTTTTGTTTATTTAATAAGTAAATTACCACATAGTTTATTTTAAGCTGGAATAACCGGCCCTAATTCTGAGAGCGTTTATTAATTGTATATTAAGACGAATTCTTATTAATTATTACCTAATTTCTCACTTTTACAAAAATTTCTTGTAACAATTTTATTAGCGTTATCATGAGTAGCATTTCTTATTTATGAGAAGTTTTATAAGAAACATGCGATTGCGCTTCTTAACACTCAAAGAGTTATGAATGTTGAAAAAAAAAATAAGCCAAATATACTTTAAAAGCCTATATTGCCTTATTGTTTTAATTATAAAAATTGTTATTACCTAGATATTCGATGATTTCATTTTGCTCTAGCTTCTTGGAAAAAAAAAACAAATAATTTTAGATACTGTAAGTGTATAGTGTTCGACACAACTGTTTATTGCAATTCATTTCACATATTCATAGTCGCACGTTTCCACGATGAGATTCTTCTTTTATAAATTGTGTCACGTTTCAATATATTGATACACTTCTATTATACTTATTTGATAAAACGAGGAATTTATTAATCAATCATTAGTTCTAAATAGTACAGAAAGGCCTGCAAAGCACTGAAAAAGCGCTTATATACACTTTTTAGTGCTTTTTTTTAATGCTGTGTGGTTAGTTATATTAATTGCTTGTGGTTATTTACTTGTGGTTAGTTACTAACACTCATAAACAATTGACTATTCGGCGATTGGAAATCACATGCAAAAAGAAACACATCTGTAAGTCTTTATCAGGGTTGGGTAGTGCTAAATCAAAAAGATAAAAGTTAAGTTAAAAAGTTAAAAAGTTAATTAATTTTAACTTAACTTAGTTACAGTTTAGACTCTTAACCTTTTAACTTAATTTAGTTATATTTTATCAGTAACTATTAATTTTTAATTTGATTTTTTTAAAGTTAATCCTCAGACACAATGCGAGAGAATAATGAATATATAATTCAGAAATTTTACATTGTATAATCGTTACTTGTGAACAAAAATAATCAAATTCTTTAATAAATATACTGTGAGAAAGAAAAAATATGAAAAATTATGTAAAATGGTAAAACTTTTTCTTTTTTTTTTTTTGGTTGTTTCGTCGGACCAAATTTAACTTTTAACTTTTCAATTATTTTTTTATTAACTTAACTTTTAATTCAATTAATTTCATTATGGATTAACTTATGTGTGTGTATTTTAATTAAGTTAAATTTTTAAGACTGTTAACTTTAACTTAACTTAGTTAAAAAAAAAAATTAACTTATCAACCCTGGTCTTTACACAATAATACAACAATAGGAGTACAACTTTAGAATGAGAACATCGGTAAAGCTGTAAGCTCATTGGATATTGCGTGTCGCACGCGACGAACATCGCGCTGGTCTGCAGCCAGCATAAGTCCGGATCTATAATAGGTGTTTTAAGCCATAAGAAGTTAATCAATTACAGTCGAATGCGAGAAGAATAATTGACTATGGCTCGTATTCATAGTCGAACCTTATATCTAAGGCTTCCTTAAATTTATCTTCAGATGCTCTACGAATTATTTCATTGGCTACTGAGCATCTAAAGATAAATCCCTCGCATTGTGTCTTGGGCTTAAGGCTTAAAAATTGTAAATTCAGGCTAAACGAGAATGGATTATTTTGGAATATGATATTAAGAATGGATTTTTGGATTATCTGTTCAACGCTTCTTTATTCACGGCGAATGGGAGTAACTTCCCCAGCGAAGCTTCGCTCCATGAAAAGGTAAGAGGACTTAATGGCTCCTGCACACAAAACGCGGCAACGCTTACCGCGTGGCGGAAGTTGTCGCACTAACCAATAATTCTATGTTCTTAAGCCGGCCTCACCTTGCAAAACTTTTAGAAATAATGGCTGCGTTCAGCAGACTCAACAGTTTTGCAACCGTTTTATGATTGTCTGCTGAGATAGGACCATTCTTCTAGATCTAAAAGTATGATCCAATTAGCGCGAAGAAAACTTCCAACAGTTGCAAAACAACCGTTCTGCTGAACGCAGCCAATGTAATACTACTTCCGTCGCGCGGCAAAAGTTGGATTGAGTTCAACTTTTGTCGCGCGGTGGAAATTATATATCTATTGCTGGATTCACACTGGCTGCGTTCAGCAGACTCAACAGTTTTGCAACCGTTTTATGATTGTCTGCTGAGATAGGACCATTC